CCATATGACTCCCATTTGTCCTGTTATAAATAAATAAATAAATAAATAAAAATAAATATCAGACATTACCTAATTTCACCTGTAAATGTATCAGTATGTATCTCTAACAGACAAGTACTTGCTGTGATTTAGGTGTGGTTTGTCCCTGCCAAAACTCATTTGAAATTTAATTGCCATGCAACGATGTTGGGAGGTAGAACCTTTAAGAGGTAGGACCTAATGGGAAGCATTTAGGTCACGAGGCTCCACTTTCATGGATGGCTTGGTGCCATTCTCACAATAGTGAGTGAGTTTTTGCTCTCTCAAAACTGAATTAGTTCTCTTGGGAATTGATTAGTTCTTGAAAGAGCAGGTTATAAAGTAAGGACATCCTTAGTGTTTGGCCCCTTTGCACATAACCACTCCCCTTTTGACCTTCTACCATATTATATCTAGGCAGCAGAGCCCTTACCAGAAGCCAGTGGCATGCTCTTGAACTTCCCAGCCTGCAGAACTATGAGCTAAGTAAGCTTCTTTCTTTATAAAATATGCAGTGTCAAGTATTCTATTATAACAACACAAAACAGACTAAGAACTCTTTTTTTTTTCCCTTTTCCAAGATAACACTGGCCAGGCACAGTGGCTTACACCTATAATCCCAGTGCTTTGGGAGGCCGAGGTGGGAGGATCACATGAGCCTAGGGGTTGGAGACCAGCCTGGGCAATATAGTGAGACCCTGTCCCTAAAATAAAGAACAATTAGCTGGACATAGTGGCACATATCTGCAGTACCAGCTACACAGGAGGCTGAGGTGGGAGGATCCCTTGAGCCCAGGAGTTTGAGGCTGCAGTGAGCCATGCACGCCACTGCATGGGTGGCAGAACGAGACCCTGTTTCTAAATAAATAAATAATGATAACCCCAATATAATTATCTCATCTAACAAAATTAATAATAATTTCCTAATAATCTAATACCTAGTCTGTGTTTGAGCTTCCTTAAATTCTTGAAAATGCCTTCTTACAGTTGTTCCAAGCAGGATCAAAAACAATGTCCATATGCTGCACTGGGTGATAGGTCCCTTTAGTCTTACCCCACCCTCTTGCCTCTTTTTTTTTTTTTTTTTTTTTTGGGACAAGATCTGGCCCTGTCATCCAGGCTGGTGTGCAATGGTGCGATCTCTATTCACTGCAACCTCTGCCTCCCAGGCTTACACCATCCTCCCTCCCACCTCAGTCTCCCACCTCTCACTGTTTTAAAAGTCATTTATTTGTTGAAGAAATTTGATAATTTGTTTTTGGTGTGTGTGTGTGTGTTTTTTAAAGACAAATGCATTTCATTATTTATTTAGATATGTCCTTGAGTCATGGGAACTAAATAATTTGATCTGCAGGATTTCCATACTCTGTATTTAGCTTATATTGTAGCATAAGATGGCATTTGGTTTAGCACAAAATTCTGTATTTTAAAATACCACTTTTGGCCAGGCATGGTGGCTCGTGCCTGTAATCCCAACAATTTGGGAGTCTGAGGTGGGCGGATCATTTGAGGTCGGAGTTAAAGACCAGCCTAGCCAACATGATGAAACCCCATATCTACTAAAAATACAAAAAATTATCTAGGTGTAGTAGCGCGTGCCTGTAATCCCAGCTACTTGGGAGGCTGAAGCAGGAGAATCACTTGAACCCGGGAGGTGGAGGTTGCAGTCAGCCAAGATCATGCCACTGTACTTCCAGCCTGGGTGACACGGGGAGACTCTGTCTCAAAAAATAAAAAATAAAAAATAAAAGTACCGCTTTTTTATCTTGTTTCTCAGAGTGTCGTGAGTTTTATTTTACTACCTGAACAAGTTTAGGAGTCCCATAGCATTCTTACTTTGTGCTTAAGGAAGCTGAAACAGGGAGAGGATTTTTCTGGAAACAGAGCATTCCTAGAAAGTACCAGAGCACTCAGTATTTCCTTGGTAATGTTGAAAGCTTAATGAACCATGGTTTTATCAGAGGTATCACAAGATAAAACTTTTTAGGAAAAACTTTTCCTGTTTTGTTTTATCCCCTGTGCCTACATGTTGCCTGACATGGAAGATGTTCAGTAAGTATTTATTATTGAATCAGTTGCCTAATTCTGCCATCTTTGGCCCATTCTTCTCTGACCCAAGACCTGAAAGCTTACAACTTGTTCTATCTATAAGAGTTTAAAGCAGTTTAAAAGAGTGAAGCTAATAATAAAAGCATTGTAGCCAGATACAACTGCTCATGTCTGTAATCCCAATGACTCAAGAGGCTGAGGCGGGAGGATCCCTTGAGGCCAGGAGTTAGAGACCAGCCAGAGAAACATAGCAAGACTCCATCTCTACAATAAATTTAAAAATTATCTGAGTATGGTGGCTTGCACCTGTAGTCCCAGCCACTCAGAGGGTGAGGTGGGAGGATTGCTTGACCTCCAGAGGTTGAGGCTATAGTAAGCTGTGATCATGCCACTGCACTCCAGCCTGGGTGACAGAGAAAGACCCTGTCTCAAATAAAAGCTAACCAGCAATGATGTAGTGATGACACTGGCACTTATACAGAATACATCATGAATCATGTGGAAAACAAGCGTTGCCATAAGTGAATGGTCAAACTGTATACATCTGAGAGATCTGATGTCTTTTCTTTTCTTTTTTTTTTTTGGAGCTGGAGTCTCGCTCTGTTGCCGAGGCTGGAGTACAGTGGCGGGATCTCAGCTCACTGTGACCTCCACCTCCCAGGTTCAAGAGATTCTCCTGCTTCAGTCTCCCGAGTAGCTGGGATTACAGACGTGTGCCACCATGCCTGGCTAATTTTTGTATTTTTAGTAGAGACGGGATTTCACCATGTTGGCGAGACTGGTCTCAAACTCCTGACCTCAAGTGATCCACCTGCCTTGGCCTCCCAAAGTGCTGGGATTACAGG